CTCATATCCACAGAGTAACACCAAAGTACTGCATAAACATCATCTGCTCATCTCATCTTCCCCTCCATCCCCCGCCTTGAGATTTCAGTTTAAAGCAGTATTTTATTTGCATTTAAAATTATATTTTGTCTAATAAATAAAACAAATAAACACACACACACAAAAGTCATAATTATTGTTAAAGCATCTTTTCCAAACAGCCACAGAAAACATCAAACATTGCAAAAAGTCAATATTAATATTGACAGTTAAATTGATATATTAATAGAAAAGCAAATAAGGGCTGGCTAAAATGATAAACCAGTGAAAATGCCTGATATTTCAACTTGCCTGATTTAATTTGAAATTAAAAAATACTGCATGTAAAATTAGCTATACATTAGCAAAACATGTATTAATGGTATGCATGTTACATTATACTTATGTATATATATCAAATACATGTATTATCAACATATTATGCAACGTACATTGTATATTTAAACAGATAGGATATATAGCACATAATAAATAATATATTTAAAATAATTGTATAGAACATTGATATTTATTACATAATGTAAATTGACTAGTACATTCAATATATGCTTATTACATATATACATTAATGTAAATGTTATGTTGGTAAGACACTCATTTGTACACTGTATACAAGTATCTTTTTTTTAATGCAAACCAGAAATAGGAGCAGGGAAGGATCTGAAAGAAAATGGAATAAATGGAGAACCTACCTGACAAGTGAGGATTAAACTGGTAGCGTTGGTTATTCTTTCAAAATTAATGCCAAAAGATAATGCAATTGTTCTTTACATAACCAGTCAGAGAGTTAAAAGATCACGAACAGAAAATACGTCTGCAACTAAAGAACAGTAATAGGACTAAAATGAAAAAGTGTAACCCCTTCACTAAATCTGGGGCGATAATTAGAATCAATTTTTTAACATTGGAGAAAACTTCTCTGAAACAGTTCCTTACTTTTTGACTGCTTGGTTCAGAATGTTTTAGAAGCTACTTCTGAGACAAGTTTGTTTTGTAAAAGATATATAAGGATGTAAGTAACAGTTCAAACGTTGCTTTACATTTCCAAACTGCTCTATACAGAAGTAAATGCCTTCTTAGACTATCGTATTTTCAATGTAGTATGGCAATTATACATTGAATTTGTTGTATTTCTGAAAATCAGTGCAAAACTGATTGGATAAATTGCTGATGAATGAGTTTCAGGGATGAGAACTCAGTAGAAAATTGCATCTCAAAATTTCTCCTTACCTGTTTATTCTGCTTTCATTATCAGATTGCATCTTAATTTTTACACTAGAAACTGAACTTTTGCTATACAGCATGCCTCAGTCATTTCAAATGTAACAATTTCTCTAGAATCAGCATCTCCCACTAAGCAACTGGTTCATACCTCTGCACTGAAAACTCAGTCTGATAGATATTATTTTGGAAGCCTTTTAGATCATCATTGCACAGTAGTCAGAAATCTGGCAGAGTTGCCTATAATGCTGCTCAGTGTTTTTCTTTCTGACTCAGTTACAGTTAGCTCAGAATTCATGACAGGCTTCCTTCAGCAAAAGATCTCATTTTTGATCAAGTCATTAAGACTTCGACACACTCAAGCCAGATGTTTTTCAGGTAAGCACATGAACTATTTGAGCTGCATTTCATCTCCTGAAACAGCCACCAGCTCTTTAGGGACAAACGTGAGTGACAGTCCCGCCCCCCCGGCTCACTTTCCCTTAGCCAAGATGGCCATGGAGCGGCTCTTTCTGCCCTCAGCTATGATGGCTATCATAACATTCTCATGGACTTCCTGCCCAGAAAAAGGATGGACACAGTTGGCTCCTGCTGCCCTTACCTAACATGGCTGCGAGGTGCTCTGCCTGCTTCAGCTCTGTGACAGCGTTTGCAGAAGCGAAGCAGGAGCTGACACTTCCTCCCTCCTCCTCCTCTTTCTCCTCCTCCTCTGATCACAGCACAGCGGCGAGCACTTCACACAGATCTCCTCATCCACCTGTTGCTTTCCACACTTCTGGGATGGACACCTTCTGGTAAGCAGCAAACACCTCATAAAATACCCATACAAAAATGGTATCCTCATTTCAGAATGCACCTGCTTCCTGTATTTTCACCTTAGCCTATGACTCTGCCCCTGATATCTTCTGAACGCATCAGGCAATTTGAAATAGGAGTTAAAAAGCCTGAGGGATAACTACAGCTCCAGTGAGAGCTGGCACTCATGCAGAGAAGGAAGGGTCGAATTAATGTCCTCGATGAGCAGAGGGTACAGCTCAGTTGTTACATGAGCCATTTGGCAGTGCCAAAGAGAACTAGAAAGGCAGCTGGCACATACCATTGCTTCCCTGTGAGACTGTCAGAGTGGGATTTCTCCAGGGAATGAAGAAGGGTTCAGGAAAATATAATATGCCAGTGGCTTACATTTTAAATGACACAGTTATATTATTATTATGTTATTATAAATACTTAGAACATCAGAAAAAGGTAGCCACTACTCAGTTTATTATTTTACCTTTTCTCTTAGGCCCTATAGATGGTAATGGACATTTTTCATCTCTAATTTTACTTCCAGCCTCCTTTCTCCATTAAACATGCACAGAAAAATATTAAAAAATGCTCTCAGAAACATTATTTTCATTCCAACACCTGTAGTACCCTTTGTCCTCACTTTTTACACTTTGAAATTCCAAAGCAGTCTCAATTATTTCTACTTTTGCAACTCATTCCCTCAAATGTAACTCCTAATGGACCTAAATTTATTCTCACTTTCTCCATCTTCTTTTTACACCTTTCCTTCTCCCTTTGATTAGTTATGGCATCTTGTGTGCTGTAAGCAACAGCCACACTGAATTTCCACTAATTAAAAAAATTAGTAAAAGCAAATTATGATTATATTTATCAGAATAGTACAATCTCATAAGCTGATGAAAGCCATGAACTTATGTGCCAGCTTTTTTTTTTTTTCCCTGTCAGGGGAATTAAAAATACGGATAAGCAGTTCTAAACATTCCACCTATCAGTTGTTTAGTTTTGTCTTCACAAAATCAGACTTTTCTTTAATCTTGGATTTCATGTCTTTGTTTCAAACATAAATGCTACAGCTTGTTTTGCTGTATTTTTCTCTGGACTGTTGGAAGAAAACTAGTCTGTTGTGAATCAACCTCCCTTCCCCAAATCACAGTGCAGTCAAAAAGAAAGGGGAAAAAAATGAAGACAGCTCTGAGATTTTATTGTGCTACAACTAAGAATGGACCAATCTTGCTTTGTCTCTTACACTGCACTGCCTTACCTTGATCAATGCTTTTCCCCTCATCCACTGCTGAAGTGCCTGGCCCAGCTCCACTCCCGTGCTCCACAGCTGCCAGCTCCTTCTGCCATCTCCCATATCCCTAATCCTAACACCCTGTCAAAAGGTAATTATAGTGCTGGCACGACCCCAACATCTATCTTATATCAACAATTTCCATTTGTTTGCTTTACAGGGAATGACGGAATTAAAAATGTATTTGAACCGGAGAGACTCGTTCGGCACCAGCCTACCGTACGACCTTGGCAAGTGACCTTTCCTCGGCTTTTAGAAAAAAGGCAAAAATATGACCTTGGATGATGCTCCATGGTATAGTGCAGGAAGACACAGCACCAGTGACTCCATCTCAGTCCTGTCCCTGCAGCTGCTGCTCCAAGAGTCCCCCTGCTCCAGCTGCCAACCTGCAAAAAGACATGGCAAACATGGCCAGCATTCCTCCCGCCACAGGACACATCAGACCACACTGCGGCTCCCTAGGCTTTTAATCTGGGATCATGAAACGACCAGATATGCACAGGGAAAGCAGGAGGATGTTCTGGACACTCCTGCAGTTTCTCATGCAAGCTCTGCTGAGAACGTGTCACCCCAGCTCCTCCTCTGAGCTCCGCACTTTCACAGAATCACAGAATATTCTGAGCTGGAATCAGATGATCGAGTCCAAGTCCTGCCCCAGGAATCCCACCGTGTGCCTGAGAGCGCTGTCCAAGAGCTTTGTGAACTGGCAGTCTTGGGGCCACGACCACTTTCCTGGGGAGCCTATTCCAGTGCTCGACCACCCTCTGGGTGAAAAGCCTTCTCCTAAAATCCAACCTAAACCTCCCCTGACACAACTTCAGGCTCTTCCCTTCCCTCCCCTTTATTTATAAGGGCTGACGGGCCCCGCTCGCCCCCTCCCTCCCAGAGCTGAGAACAGCGAGGGCAAACGAGGGCACGGGGCCAGGGCTCACTCACCTCAGCGACCTGCCCCGTGCTAACACGTCCCAGCCGTGCCCTTCCAGGAGGAGGAACAGCAGCCAGCCCCTCTCCCTGTCCCTCGTCCCCTCCCGGCCTCTCCCGCCGCCCCCTCCCCGCGCCCGGAGCGGGGCGGGGCCCACCCGTGCCGCAGCCTCACCGCGCGCACGGCGCATGCGCGGGGCCAGCCGGTGCGCACGCTACCCGCCCCCGGCCCCGCCCTGCCCCGGCCCCGCCGCCGCGGCCACACCGGGAAGGGCTCCAGGCGCTATGGCGGCGGCTGCGCGCAAGGTAAGGGGGAGCGGGGCGCACCCCGTGCCGCCCGCGGGGCCGAGGAGACGCGGAGGGACGCGCTGAGAGACGCGCCTGACCCGGTTTGTTTTGGGCCCCGCAGGTTGGAGGAAACTTCCCGCGGCTGGTGGCCGCCTGAGCCGGCAGAGCGACCGAGCGGGAGCGCCCGGGCCCGGCCGCCAGGCCTCTCCCGCCGCCGGGGCAGGGGAGCCGCGCTGGGCGGGCGGAGAGCGCGGGGGTGCGCAGCGGGCCCGCCTCATGCGCAGCCACCTGCGGAGGGGCTGAGCGGAGCCGCCGCCGCCGCGCCCCGCGCCGGGGGCTCCTGGCGGGCACTTCCCGGGGCAGCCCCCGCTGCCCGCCCCTGCGGAGCCGCCGCCGAGGGACGCACACCGAGCCCGCCGCCAGCCAGAGCCACCGCCGGGGAGCGACCTGTCAGGGCACCTCGCAGGCCGGCCCCAGGAGCCCTTCCCACGCGTTGGTTTGTCCCCGGGAGAAGCGAGTTGGGAGCCTCTCCATGCCTTATCAAGTTCCTTATCTGAGCGGCTCCCAGAAGCTGTAGACCGGTTCAGCTTTATCTGGTGGAGGGGAGAAAAACAGTGTAGCTCTCGCACTCCGTCGTAAATCGAGGACCACCTATTCTGCTGGCGTTTAACACACGAAGATGGTGAAATGCGGATTGCTGGGTGAACCGATAGGTCCCTGTTGTGGAGCGAGGGCTTTATATTCACCTTCCAGTTCCTGATCTGTGCCGTGTGAGAGAGGACGCTAGTCTTCCTCCTTCATTCCCCTTCCCTAAACCTTTCCTTGCTTCCATGTTGCATTGGTCAGACTTTTGGTCAGTGTTGTTTACGGAAGGGGGGGGGAAAAGAAGGCAGTTGAGGTTACAAACAAAAGTACTTGTATGACTCATCTACTTGGATTTAAGACATTGTATCCTTCTTTCACGGGGCCTTTGCTTCTCTCTGAAGGAATCAGATGCTTATTCCTATTCTTCCAGAGGATGAATTGAAAGTTGTACGTTTTAGACTTATTTTGGGCCACTGCTGATATTATTAAAAGACATAATGAGATTTTTTCACTGGATTATTGCCAGAATTAGTTTACACACTGAAACAATGAGTTGTTAGGCCTCTCATACGATAATATTTGCCCTGCTTTAAGTTGCTGTGGAGGTGTTTTAAAAATTGTGGAGGACAGTCTGCATCAGAAGAGGCTCTCTTCATCTCTGGTTGGTGTGGCAATCACAATCTGTCCTCGATGCCTTCAGCCTTGGCCATCTTCACTTGCCGCCCGAACTCCCACCCGTTTCAGGAGCGTCATGTCTACCTGGACGAGCCTGTCAAGATCGGCCGCTCCGTGGCTCGCTGCCGGCCAGCCCAGAACAATGCCACGTTTGACTGCAAGGTGCTGTCCAGGAACCATGCTCTTGTCTGGTTTGATCACAAGACAGGCAAGGTAAGGTGTTTATTTAAAAACACTGAAACTGCACTTTTGTTTTAGCAAGTCCCTGTAGATTGCGTATCGCTCTGGGTTTGCTGTAATAAATGTGGCTGCATAGGGCAGGAGTAAGATTTGAAGTGGTAACTTTCCAGGTAAGTTGGTAATTTCTTGCTAAGCAGAAACTTTGAATATTATGAAAAGTGTATAAAACTAACACTTGAAAATTGTTGTAGTACTGAAGGACTTGCATGTGTCTCATTTATTACTGGAAATAGGCGCTTTTGAGGTGAGTCATTCAAATGTGAAAGGGCATTGTATTGATATAGTGGTGTAATAGTATTTTTTTCAAATGCAGAGAAATTACTTTTGTATTGGTGTATGAAAATTGATTGTGAGGAGCGTTGAAAAATGGATTTTAAAAAGATACTGTGCTTTTTTGGCACTCGTCCTACTTGTGTTTTTGAAATTTTGTGTAGTATTTTGTTTGGTTCTGATAGAAGATTTATTACTGCCAACAGGAGGGTAATGGGTGGCATTCATGGTACAGTCTTACTGTTAGTGATAATGGTTTTAAAATACATCTTGTGTTCTTAACTGTTCCCCTCACAAATCTGGCAGTCTTGTTAAGTAAAATTGACGGGTCCTGTAGTGCGTGTTTTGACCACTAGGGATTGAACTGGGACAAGTAAAGTTGTTTTACTTAATGACTGTCAAGTTAATTTCAAATATCCAGCGAAAAATTAACAAAGGGCAGGCTACAGTTGCTCAACACTGTATTTTTTTTCCAAATATTTTCATGTTATGCTCTAGAACGTAACATGTTCTAATTCAGCTGGTTTTTAGCTTCACACCGAGTCCTCCTATGAAATGCAGTCAGCGTAGCTCTGGATTTTAAGAATAACATGGTCTGCAATTCATGCAGATTTTTTGAGTAGTATGACACAGCATGAGGAGCAGTACAACGCAGTCAAAGTTCTTAAACCTTCCATTGTTAATTATCCTATGTTATGCAATACTTGGACATGATGGGACAAGACAAGCATTTAATTTCTTAAGGCTGGATTATGGCATGGCTTTCAAGTTACCTGCAGGTAATTGTGCAAACTGCTATCTGTATTAAATGTTTCATTAAGCATCTTGCTTTGGCTCTAAAGAGTGTGTGATGTACGTTCTTGGATTCTAGAAAACTTGAGTGCTTGAAATACTTTCAGTGTAAGTTTTGTCTTTAACCTTTCTTGTTTGACTCAACAAAGTAAGTAAAATGTTCCAATTTGTTGTGCTGCTTTTAAATTAGAAAGTATTATCATATAGCTTTTTATCAACATTTCATACGACTTATAAAGATTTTAGGACCTGCACGTGCTCTATTATGGTTACAAATAGTCTGTCGTATTCAAGATAGTTAATTTAACAAAGCAGTGAGTATTGAGCAAGTCTGCTAACTGATAGACAAGCTCAAAAACCATCAGCTATGAGGATTTTTGTTTGTTTTTAAATTTCAGTTAGCTTTGACTTCTGTAGGAGAAAATTTATATGCTTACTCGTTTTATTTATCTATTTCAAAGTAGGAACTTAGTAGTAGTAGTAAATTAGAGGATTGTATTTGATAGTTCTTGAGATAACATCATGTGAAGATTTGACAGAAGTGTGATGAATATTGCCAAGGTGGGCATCTGTAGCCATGGTAAACAACTAAAGAACGGGTTTGGGACCAAGCCCTGGAATCTACTCCTATCACATGTTAGATGTGGTGTTGTAAAAGGTTTAAAGACAAGTGTGGCTGTGTGGAGAATTTCAGATTCTGTGCTTGTTTGCTGTCTATATGAACTGGCTTTTCATCTGGCTGAGTATCTGAATGGTAAATTGTGAGACAGTTGGCAGGGAGGGGGAAATGTACCATTAGAGATAATAGGTATCAAATGCTGTTGTGAAAAGGCAGGTGGAAGATACTGATAAATACAGGCTTCATCTTGAATCACAAGAACGACTTAAAAAATTCTGTGGTGTTTTCAAAGTACAAGCAAAACCATAAAGCTATGCCAGAACATTTACATGCGGGATCATCTATTATCATTGTTTACATAACTGCTAATAAGCACATCTCATTTAGGAAATTGTCATTATCCTATCAATGACCTATATTTAAACCTGCACAAATTCTCTTTGTCAGAGTATTTGTAAACATTTCTTAGAAGCTTATATATAGGCCATTTATCGATTCTGGGGTTTTTGAAAGATGAAAGACCTTCAAATGTTAATTTAGTACTGAGAAAAGCCTTCAGATATTTCAAAATAGTTCATGAATGATCTGGGACTACTAACGAACTACTGGCTTTCATAACTTGTGGACTTGGGCAATGCCAATTTCAGGCATTACCAGTCACTCAGTCTAGTATCTGTGCTGCCTTTTGAGCTGCCTTTCAGTTACATTCTAGTACTCTTTTTTTTTTTTTCATGAGGGCTTGGAGTTTTATTTTGTTTAGTGAATCATGTGAGTGATCCTGTTAACTATGTAGTCTGTAAACAATTTTGTGAGTATTATCTGTAAATAGGAGTAGACTCTGAAGAGAGGGAGCATCGTTAAGCAATGCCAAGGAAAGTAGTACAGAAGGTTTTTCCTAAGGCAGAGGAAGGTATAAGCTGAAATATGTAGACTAAGCTGAAGATAACATGTTACTTACAGTTGAAAGATGTGAATGTTTACTTTGTATAAAGACATTTTAATTATGCATAGAAAAAGTTATTTGCCCAGGGAGGTAATGTCTATGTAACACCAGCATTATTAAGGATGAAAATAGAATACGTTTTCAAGATTACCAATACATAGCAATTAAAAGAAGGTACTTAAAGTTGGATTTGCTCTTTAAAATATTTTAAACATAATGTGTAAGCCTAAATATGTGTATGATAAAGATGGAAAGAGATGGTGATGTGATTATCTGTACTTTTTCTGTGCATAGTAATATTTTTGTAGACAACTAATGCAATGCCTCTTCCTGCCTGTGTTTATAGATACAGTGTAATAACTCCTAGTTAACTAGTGAATTTTTCATGCAATGATAACACTGGAATATTATAATTAGAATTAATTTTATTTTTTTAGTAATTATAAGTTAATGAATCTGGGTTTTTTTAGAGGTGCCTGAAAAAGTGACTCACTAGATATGTAGGAAGAAGATGTTGTGCTGAGCAGAGAGTGTTCCAAAAAGTGTGAATCAAAGCAAGAGAAAAAGTGGGCTATAGTTCAGAAAATTTAAGTGTTTGTTCAGCTCAAATCACTGCATATGAAAAGAAACTCTTAAAAATTGTGTAACTGAAATAATCTTAAACTTGTTTTTTTGGGTTTTGTTTACATTTCTAAAAATAAGCAAGTGGAAGACCTTTGAGAATTTGTATGTCACTTCCAGGCTGAAATGCTTCTGACAGATGTTGTAGAAGCTCTTTGTAGAAACCTCAAGCTTCCGAACAGATATCCAGGTTTTCAAAATCTGGAATTATTCAGTGCCTGAGATTGTTGTGAGCTGCTATTATAAGTACCTATTATAGGGAGTTAATTGCCAGAGTTTACCAAAGGCTCTGAGAAACTGTGAAAAATAACGTATTTTCTTAGATAAAAAGCACTCTAAAGAACTGGTCACTTTTAATAACTGAAAAAAAAAAATGTAGACACAAGTTGCTGTGTTAATGGTAGATAATGCTGTTGTTTTCATTTAATTCAAAGTGGATATGAGTTGAGCACATTCATATCTTGGTGACAGAAATGCTAACTAGTATATTGAAACCCATAGTCTCTATAATAGTAAATGAAATTCATTAACGTTGTGCATTATGGCTTCTAGACTTAAAATATGTGAGATAAAAATACTATAAAATACTTAAAGAAAAAAAACACAAAACAGATTTCCCCCCACAATAAAACCCTCAAAAACCAAACCCCAAAAGAACCAACCAAAAATCCAAGAAGAAAACCCAAACCAATCATACCAAAGCCAACAACTCGGAACAGCCAGCCCAGAGGTACAGCCAATTGAACGTGAGCTGAAGGACCCAGTGGAGTTTGCTCTGGTTGTGTTTGGGATGACACCAAGCCCGTGAGTGTTGGTGTGGTGGGGCTGAGTTGATCTGCTCGAGTGCAGCGCTTTTGTCCACTGGCTGTGCTGAGTGAAGGGGCAGACAGGAGCCTCAGGGCTGCACTTGCAAAGGAAGAAACCCTTGCAGCTTATTAGGCCCTGTCCAGCATAGTGCATTTTATTTTGGACCACTTAAGCAAGAAATACATTGACAAACAGGAATTGAGAGATTAGATTTTTTTTGCTGTATTGTACTAGGGATAAAAGTAAATTGATATGAAAGCAAACAAAATTAGTAGAGAGGAAATATGTAACTTGCTTAACATTACATAAAATGTTTTGTGGATATCAAGAACTTGGCATGTTTCAGGAAAGCACAGAACATTTTCTTTGGACGTTCTGTTTGTTTAGAAGTATTTTAGTAAATTTATCTTAAAAAACTAAGTGGGATATGAAAAATGATATTTGGAATTGCAGGATTTTACTGGGACATTTTTTTTCCTCCTGTTTCCAGTAGAGAATCCTGTGTGATACTCTTCCCTATTTAATGTTGATCTATGTAAAGGATGTTTAGTTTCCCGTGTATCAGTAGCACTTATTTCGATAGATACCATGTCTGTTATTTGTTTTTTCGTCTTATATCTTTTCAGCTTTCTGTTAGGTTGTCCGAGGGATGAACAGATGTTTTATTTTCCAGTACTCTTGATGTTGCTGTATGCTTACAGTCTGCAGTGGAGACATCTTCCAAACACTGAATGTTTGTTCCAAGTGTCCTGGGGGACTGACCTGGGATTTGCTGTAATGCACTGAGGTGAAAACTCCAGTGCTTAGGTGCTTCTGGTAAGAGGGTGATGCCAGGCAGCCCTTACATACACCTGTTAATATTTTTATGTAACTGCTTTTCACCTTGAATGAACCATCCAATTTTATACTGACATGATGATG